GACTTGGAAAATTGTATGATTATCTTCAGAAGACCTCGTGTAAGGTGTGTACGCGTTTTGTTTTGATCAAGAACCTCTGGAAATTGGATTTCGAATTCACTTTGGATGTGAGTTTTTTTGGAGTTGCTTGAGTGTACTTAGGGTTCCGCTTGCAGTCTCTAGGGTTTTGGTTTGTGATACTGAGTATATATAGAACATGTTAGGTCAACAAAGTTGGATAGAATCTCATGAATTCAATGGTTTAAGATTTGATTTGCTTAATATCTTTTTCCAATCTTTTTTCATGTTATTTTTGTTCAATCATGATCCAATCTCATCCAAATTTGCCTAATTGGGATATGCACGAAATATTATGAATAAACATGCATGAAAAGATTTTTTTAGGTTAAGTTTGATATTTTTCATATATTAAAATCATTTAAATGAATATAAATTAATATTAATTCAAATAAATAATTAAAAAATATGAGAATACTTCCCTTTGGGCCTAGTGGTCGTGCATAGGCTTGGCATGAAGAAATTTGGAAGAAAATTGGGCCCATTTGCATTTTTAGGCCTTTTGCATCAATGTTGACTTTTTCAAATTCCTAAAAATTTCCCAACTTCCACAAGGCATAACTTGGTCAATTTTTAAGCTTTTCACATGTTCTTGGACATTTTGTAAAGGTCTTTGAGTCCTTTAACCAATGCCTTTGGTCCCATGTCATTTTGATTTACCAATCTCAAGTTATGGCCTTTGACTTAAAGTCACTTTTTGTTGACTTTTGAAAATGACCTATAATGTTGAAATTGATAACTTTTTGTGAGAGCATTTCTTGGACTTGGAACATGAAGATGAATTGTAGGAAATGTCTTTCTCTTCAAAATGAGCTTTGGATGGAATTTTTCTGATAATCCATGTGAAAGTTATGCCCTGGTCAATTTCTGTTGACTTTTTCAGCTGTCCAAATATAGCAACTTTTGCATCTTTGATGATTTCTGAGCCAAATTTTGAGAATCATGATCAAGCATTGATCAAATGATGTTTGTGGCTTTAAAATGATATATTGACCAAAAATTTGAACTTTTGACTGCCAAATGACCATTTTGCCCCTACAGTTGACTGTAGTGCAATCTAGGGTTTTGACTGTGCAATTTTGAGCTGAATGCCTTGAAACTTGACATGAGGATATTTGACCATCTTTGTAGGCACATGAGACTTGATTGGGCCTTTGAAAAGTTCATTTGCTTGACCAGAACTCAAACCCTAGTTTTGACTGTCTAGGAGACAGTTGAGCTGCACAACCCTTGGGGCATTTTGTGACCTTGATTTTGACAATTCTTGATGAATATGGGAGGGCAAATTTTGGGGTACAACAACTTGTTCCTACGCAGCATGTCTTCCAGGGATCCATCATGTACCCTCACCAACGGCTTGCCAGGTGGTCCTGAGCGCCCATCCAGTGGCCAAGAACTAATGTCCAGGGAACACTCCAGTCAACGCATGTGCACGTGGTCAGAAAAGTCAAAATGGCCTTCCTCAAATGGGCCAAATTGCTGGCAATTTCCCTCCAAAATTAGGGTCAACACCCCCCATTGATTTGCATTTTATTTTCATTCTTTTTATTTTTTCTATTTATTTGTTTTATTTATTTTAGTTAAATCATCAAAATTAATTTTCATAAAAATAAAAAAAAATCAGAAAAAGTCAAAATAAAAATGTGTTTTGATATTTAATTCATAAATAGCTTTTTTTTGTAAATAAATTTAACAACTAATTTAGTTTTAATTCTAGGTTTAATTTTAATGTTTTTTTATAAACTAAAAAATGTAGAATTAGGGTTTTAAATACTTTTATTCTTTTTTCTTTTCTTTTGCCATTATTAAATATTAATTATTTTTATAAATATATATGCCATGTAAATAATTAATGTAAATTAGGTCAAAATAAGAATATTTTTTTAATAAATTAAAAACAAGTTAGAACTAGGGTTAATTAACTTTTTTAATTCCAATTTAATTTTCTCATTAAACTCCATAAATACAAAAACTCCAAAAAAATTCTTTCTTTTTATTTAAACTTAATTAATTTATTAATTTCAATTCAATTTCTTTAGAAGGGTCCAACGCCCTCGCTTTCGATTATAATTCCGTTTCGCGCGTTTATTTTGTTTCTTTTTGTAAATTTCATGTAATTACTCCAAAGCCTTGTAATAGATTAATTAGGGTATTTATTTTCCGCATTTTTATTTATTTCAAATTGGGTCTTGGTTTAATTTGGCGATGTAGACCCGCGCCTTTGTAATAGCGTAGGATTTTATCTTCCCGCACTTTTTTAACTGTTAATAACTTGCATGAAAGAATGAATGGCCAAAAATAAAAACAAAGCGTAGAACACTCAATGCATGATCCAGATAAACTATAACTGAAAATGGCACACAATTCACACACCACCCCTAGGGTACGCCTCATTGTTGCCTTGCCCCTCGAAATGTGGTCGTCGAGTAGAGGATGTTTTAGTAAGTCCTCATGTCCATGAACATGGCATGAGGGTAGCTTCTAAGGTGTCTTCCTATTGCCCTGGTGACCACAATGTCCCGAACCCTCGAATTGACCCGAATACATCCAACGGTGGTGCTACCTACCTCTCAATGGTGGGATGGCACTACTTTAAGGACATTTACACAGACGAATTCCTTAGGGTAGGTAGATGACTCGTAGATACTTGCTCTAATTTCAAAACAAATCAAAAACTTCTTTTCACACCCGAAACCTTTCAAAAAGCTTTCAAAAGCAATTTTTCAAACACTCTTGAGGACTGATACAAGAGTCGAACTGAAATTTTCAAAGAAACTTTTTTTAAACCCACAGTTGAAAAGCAAACAAACAATTTTGAAAACACAAATGAGCAAGTATCTAAGAGCCCATGGATAACCATGGATAGAAAGGGTGCTAACACCTTCCCTTTCTATAAATCTACCTCCCGAACCGAGAACTAATCTCAATAAGGAATTTTTCTGTGCTTTTGTCCTTTCCATATTGGAGAAAATAAAAGACGGTGGCGACTCTTGCTTACCGCGACATTTCGCGAACCAGCATTAAACAGTCAGTTCCAGATCCACCGATCACACTTATGCTTTCTATGTTCATTGTTATGCTCACCGCTTGCAATTAGTTGTTGTGTCTGTTACTAGTAGTTGCTCATCTATTCATGATTTATTTGAGTACATCTCCTTGATTGTGACCACAACAAGTGCATCTTGTAAGAGGAGGGATGCTTTGATAGAGGCACAACACCAAGATATTTTAAATAAACTTGAGAGTGGTGAGATATCTAGAGGAAAGGGCTTGCACCAATCATCTAATCTCACAAGACCTGTGGATACTATATGGGGTTCACATCATACTACATTGCTTCGTTTGGATCAAATGTGGCCCTCTGTGTTAAAGGTGCTTAGTATGGTTGATGAAGATGGACGTGGACCATCTCAAGCAGCGGGTTTGATAGAAAAAATGGAGAGCTTTAAATTTGCTTTCATTTTGAAATTAATGTTAAAGTTGTTTGGTATCACAAACGAGCTTTAAAATGTCTTGCAAAGAAAAGATCTTAATATTGTGATTGCCATGGAATTAGTTGATGATGTCAAAGCTCGATTGGCCACAACGAGAGAGAGTGGTTGGGATAATTTATTTTCTGATGTCCAAGATTTTTGTGTTGCTAAAGGTATTCCAGTTCCAAATATGGATGATGAAATACCGGTTCGGGGTCGTTCAAGGGTAGAAGGGAGGACTGTCACTAATCTTCATCATTACCGTGCAGAGATTTTTTATGTTGCTATTGACAAAATATGTGTGGAGATGGATCATCGCTTTAGTGAAGAAAGTAACATTATCCTTAATTGTTTTTCATGTCTTGATCCCAAAAACTCTTTCTCCAAGTTTAATGTTGATAAGCTTGCTCGTCTTGCGGATATTTATCGTGTAGACTTTTCTGATGATGACCGAGGAACAATAAGGGATCAACTTGAGACTTATGTTCTTCAAGTGAGAAGAAATGCTTCATTTTCCACTTGTGAAGATGTTCAAAGTTTGGCTATGAAGATGGTTCAAACTGAGAAACATTTAGTATTTCCATTGGTTTATAAACTTATTGAGTTAGCTTTGATATTGCCGGTGTCGACAGCATCCGTTGAAAGAGCTTTTTCAGCAATGAAGATTATCAAGTCTAAATTGCGCAATAAGATCAATGATGTGTGGTTCAATGACTTGATGGTATGTTACACTGAGCGGGAGATATTCAAATCACTTAATGATATTGATATTATTCGAACATTCACCGCAAAAAAGTCTCGGAAAGGACATTTGCCTCGTAATTTTATTTAACCCGCTATTGTAAGGTTATATTTGTCTCTTTTATTTTAAACTATATTTTTGTGGACAAAATGGCGAGTCTCTGTTATTTTGATTGATGAGTATTTATATATTATATACAATGTGAATTTGCGATCTTTAATTTTTCGCCCAGGCTTTATAATATTTCTGGCTCCGCCACTGCACTAAGCTACTTGTATTACTTGTTTAATGATTACAACTCATATATATATATATATATATATATATATATATATATATATATATATATATATATATATATATATATATATATATATATATATATATATATATATATATATATATATATATATATATATATATATATATATATATATATATATATATATATATATATATATATATATATATATATATATATATATATATATATATATATATATATATATATATATATATATATATATATATATATATATATATATTACATAATGGAAATGAGGACTAAATCTAAAAATGAAATGATTTTGCAATTTGAAATTCTTCTTCATCTCCTCTAATTTGTATTCTTCTTCTTCTTCCTTTGCACCTTCATTCATGGCTACATCTTCAGTTGGTAACTTTACTTCGTTCCAAATTTTTAGTTGGTAACTTTACTTAATTTAATTTTATTGTTGTTTCTGATGATGGGAGATGGGATTGCAAGCTTCATCATCTAATATAATTGGTGGTGGATTTTTGTAGTACACTGATAGTGTTTGGTCTTGATAGAAGTGTGAGAAATCATTTTTAAGCAAAGAATAATAGCACGTGTGATAATTGTAATTCAAACAAGCAATCTGGACATCAAAAAAAAAAGGGAAAACAAGGAATAATTTTGGGTTTGAAATTTTGTTGGGTTTGTATGAAGGTTGGGGATGAAGATATGAACACAAACCCATAATTTTGGATTAAATAGTCTTTTCGTGCCTATAAGTTGGTGTGTTTTTGGTTTTAGTCTCTGTAACCTAATTTTTTTTCGGTTTTAATCCCTAATTTTGGGTTTGGTTCATATCTCCATGCCTAACCTTCATACAAACCCAACAAAAAATCAGATCATTGAAAATATATGTGTTTGTTTATGAGGTATTCATGTATGTTTATTTAGTGCTCCAACATTTCAAACCATAATCCTCTTTAGTAGTTTGATTCTGTAACTTTATTATTGACTCTTTCTCATACAATCTTCACCATTATCTTTCATTAAAGCTCCGTCAGCTACTTTTGATTCCTTTCAAAATCTTCAATATGTATAACGTTAAAATATATATGAATACCTCATAAACACTTGTGGATACTAGCTGATTGGGCGAACATGTTGGTAATTACACATTTTCTAATTGTGTTTGTTGTTAATTATCACACTTATGATACGATGCTTAATCACTTATGAGACAATTGTATGTTGAGATGAAATCATAAAAATTCTAATTTATCGCAGTTTTCATATATTTGAATTTCGATGCAACTATTAATCCATGTTAATGGACGAGTGGTAAAAGAGAAAACATTTTAATTAATTGGGGTGAGTTCAAATCTATCAAATTGTAAAAGTATATTTTATTAAATTTTTCATTGACATGTGACACCAAAAGAATTAATTGTACAAATCACATAATTAATTAGTATCAAAATAAAAATTAAAAAACAAAAACAAAAGGAGTCCGCAGCCACATAAACTTTTTTTAATATAATTTTAATATTAGAGACTAACACCAACAAAAAAAAAAAGTAATAAATAAATAGGAACTTTATCCAAAAAAAAGATTTATGAACCACAGGAAAGTAACATGAAAGACTCCGTCCAAAAAGAAATTTAAACAAAAATTTATGAACCAAAATCAAAACTGGTTAACTTACGTTACCAAAAACTATTTAAATCTTAAAATAATCTTAAATGTTTGAGTGGTACCTCTACTCATGGTTTGAACCTCTAGGACATGAATATTTTTTGGTCTAAATCTGGTATCTTGAAGCTCCAAAAAACAGCTTCTTGTTGTACGTTCTAGTGCTAAAGCTTAGTATATGGCATTAGCTCACACTATTATGGTTTGAATCTTTATTGATTGAACTATTGTATTGCGTACCTTCCTCCTATTTATTGTGTCATAATTTATGCTCGAACAAAACACAATGAATTTGATATTTTCTTTGTTCGTGATAGACTTGTACAAATCCTTTCACCTATGAATGACATGAATCCATGCAATTTTTTTATCCTTAATAATGGCCACCAAAAAGAGCAAGAGAAGTAAAATTCCATTACTATGAAAATGAGCATACATAAACCGATCGAGTATATATACAATACAACAAGGTAGAATATATTTCCCTAATATCACCAAGGGACGAATCGATTCATAAGCAAACAAACGGTTTCCTCTGACATACTAGTTGAAGAGTGAGAGGAAGAGCTGCCTTTGCTGAGAATATCAACAATCTCTTTATTGTTTTGATCTGTTCCTTGTTTGGCTTTTGAGAACAAAGGCTTAAGAGGAAGAACTTTTTCTCTTAGCTTTGAAAGTTCACCAACCCATACCTTTACAATGGAAGCCATTGATTTTCTTTATGCCTTTTTCTTTCTTTGTTTTCTATATAGGAGTTATGAATGAATGGGTCATATATAAGGTTTTTTTGTTGGGTTGGGGATAAGAGAAACTAAACTAGGGGCATTGAATTTGGCGGACCTTGGATGTAGTGGCACACAGTAACGAAAAGAACACCAGTTATTGTACATTGGGACTTGGATAAGATACATACTACTAACTTTAACTTTAACAAGTTCATTGTATTCTGTGGGTTACTTTTCGAATCAAACAAAAATTACCTTAACTTCCATATTTACATTTATAGTTTTCAATTTCTTTTCTTTTGACTAAATATTATATTATTTTAATTTGATAGAATGCAAATTTAACGGAAAGATAAACGATAAACTAATGAAGATGTGAACTCATAACACTCTAGCTAATATACATAGTATATAAGTAAATTTGATCTCTAGGATAAGGTGTAACACTAGGATTTTTAGCTAATGAAAAGTCAACTAAGAATATAATATTGAAGGAACATTTAGGGTTCAAGGCATTAATATCAAGTTTTTAAGGGCATAATGATCCAACGTCAGTAGAACATCGATCAAGGAGTCGATTGGTGTGATAGTTATGGTTTGGAAGAACTACAAGAACATATTAAAAGATTAGGATCACCTGGAAACATGTCCAAAATCTCAAAAGGACAGTCGATATGACTCGTGTAACACCCCGTTTTCAGTTAATTGATTTATTTGAATTTGGGAATTTATTTTATTAGAATTAATAAAATAAAAAGAATTATTTATTTTGGAGTATTTGAGGAAAATAAAAGAAATAAGGAATATTAGAATTTTTATGTTATTGGGCTTAGATGTTGTTAGTAAAGAGTGGGGGTGCAGAGAAATAAAGTTATGTTTGGGACTTAGGCCATTTTCTCATTTTTGGTTTTTCACGTAAGAACAGAAGTTGGGATTTGGGAAAATAGAGCTCTGAAGAACGGAGAACGAAGATCATCGCTCAAGAACTCAAAGCTGCTAATTGATAAGGTAAGGGGGGTTTATACTCGATTTATATTTGTTTATGGGTTTATGTACGGTTGATTCGGGTAATCGTAGGAATTCCCAATTGTTAGATGTTTCTAGGGATCGATAACTGTAGGACTGAACCTTGTTAGAAAAGGGTTAGGTTCCCAATTTTTATGAATCGATTAAGAGTTTTAGGTCCCAAATGAGGAATTGAGAGTATATATCATGATCATGAATTTACCTTGGAAGTTGTAGGGATAACCTCCGTGTCAGTAGATTTCCCCAAAAGGACGGTTAGTTCCGATTAAGGTTATTATAATAATTGTTGGTAACTTGGATATTGTGGTGTTGTTGTGAATTGTACAAACTCGATGCGTTAGGTACTGAAATGCGCGTTTTGGCGGACGTTTTCCCGCGTTTGGACTGCTGTTTTCTGAGCTGCTGCAGGTTCAGGAAAATCCTGTGCGCGCCCAGCAACACGGGCCGTGTTGCACAACACGGGTGCCCGTGTTGCTCCTCTGAGTTGGAAGGGGTGTGCTCCTGGTTGCACGACACGGGCCGTGTTGCACAACACGGGTACCCGTGTCAGAGCCCCTGTACTGATAAAATTAAAATGTGCATTTTTCTGGACGTTCTGCACAACACGGGCCGTGTTGCACAACACGGGTGCCCGTGTTGCTCTGCTGTGATGAGTTTCTGAATTTTTGATTCCAGTGTTTTGACGTTGGATTTTTATTGCCATGCTTTTAGTTAAGTTATCGAGCATGAGATATGATATAATTGATGTGATTGGTTGATGTTTGAATAGTATGCTGAGTGATTACATGCTATCCGTAACTTGATATGATTGATGTTTAAATGGTATGCTGAGTGGTTACATGCTATTTCATATCATGTTATGTTTGATATTGTTGATGTGCATGATATGTTGATCGATGTTCATAGTATGCTGAGTGTTACATACTTACATATCATGTTGCATTTGTTAATTCCCATTGTGTGGAATTAACATGGTGGCCAATATACGTGTCCGCGATTTAATGGAACGTTGAGGTGGTAGTCGTGTCCGCGATATAATGGAACGGTGAGTTATCCGTGACCCGCGATTTAATGGGGCGGTGTAGTGGTACCACATGCATGGGTGTGTTGCATTACTCGAATATGACATGAATGGATGATTTTTCCAATGTTATATTTGATTGTCTGTATGCACGTATGATTTGATAAATGGTTGATGATGTTTGATGAATATTTGCAAATATGAAAGACAATGTGTCATGGATATATGAATAGTAAAGGTTTTGTAAACTATGAAATATGCTAATTATTGGGTGATGCTTATGATTTCGTGAATTGATTGTTATGAATGTATAACCAAATGTATATTTGAGAAGCTCACCCTTACTGTTGAATATTTCAGATTGAGGAGCTTCGCTCAGGTGCTTGGCGAAGGCTTATCGGGTCTAGTTTAGTTTCGTTTTAGTATGTCCGGGTCATGCTCTGATAGTTGTAACTCCGGGAACGTTTGGTTGTCGAGCTGCTTTAGTCAGACTCGTTTATTTTCTTTTAATTGTTATAATATGACGTTGACTTTTCCAGGTGTTAATCCCTGATGATTTTGGAAAATATTATAACATTTGATTTTATTAAATAAATTATTCCGCTGTGTAGACATGTATGAGTTACCACTAAAATTATGCATGACAGGAATTTATTTTATTAAAGAGAATTGTAGCATTCCTCGATTATTACATGTACTCTGAGTTTATAATTTTTTTATATTTGCGAAAATTATATGCGGGTTTTAGAGGGTGTTACAATAGTGGTATCAGAGCATAGTCGGTCGTTGTGACCAGAGTTTTGAGTCAGTCATTCCTTTTCGTATGCGACTAGTGCAAGGTAACACTGTCGATACTGTATTCTGATGTGGAGTATGTTTTAATTCTCAGGAATATGGCTGGAGGTAACGGACGAAATGATGCTGCACTCGCTGAGGCTTTGGGGATGTTAGCTGGTGTACTTGCTGGAAACCCAACTGGAGGCGTGATTGGTGCTGATAGGCAATTGGGAAATTTCCAAAGGAACAATCCTCCGTTGTTCAAAGGTACACATGACCCTGAAGGTGCTCAGAAGTGGCTGAAGGAAATCGAAAGGATTTTCCGTGTGATTGATTGTGCTGAAGATCTGAAAGTCAGATATGGTACGCATATGTTGGCAGAAGAGGCCGACGACTGGTGGGTTGCCACAAGGACTGAAATGGTTCAGGATGGAGAGGCACTGACTTGGGCTAACTTCAGAAGGGCTTTCCTGAGGAGGTACTTTCCTGAAGATGTTCGGGGAAGAAAGGAAATTGAGTTTTTGGAGCTTAAGCAGGGCAATCTGACTGTTAGTGAGTATGCTACTAAGTTCACTGAGCTGGCAAAGTATTATGCACACTACAACAATGATGAGGCTGGAGAATTCTCTAAGTGTATCAAATTTGAGAATGGTCTCCGAGATGAGATTAAGCAGGGAATCAGGTACCAGCGTATTCGTAGATTTTCTGATCTGGTGGATTGTAGCAGAATCTTGGAAGAAGATATTACCCAGAATCGGTCGTCTCACTCTCGTGGGGCTGTTGACAAAAGAGGAAAGCAACATATGGACCGTGGCAAGCCATATGGTAGAGATAACCAGAGATCAGGCGGTTGGAAAAGGCCTAGTGGGGGAGATTCTAAGGCTCCTATCAGATGCTACAGGTGTGGTGAGTCTGGTCATCACATTCGAGATTGCAAGAGTGATGAGAAGAAGTGCTATAAATGTGGAAAGGCCGGTCATTTGTCTATTGATTGCAAAGGGAAGTCTGTTACTTGTTACAATTGTGGCGAAGAAGGTCACATTCGTCCGCAGTGTCCTAAGCCTAGGAAGGATCAGTCAAGTGGAAGAGTGTTCGCTTTGTCTGGATCTGAGACTACTCCAGAGGATCGATTGATTAAAGGTACGTGTTTTATTCATGGCACACCTTTAGTTGCAATTATTGATACTGGTGCAACTCATTCTTTCATTTCTTTGGATTGTGCTGAGAGGTTGGAACTGGACATATCTGGTATGCAAGGTAGCATGGTTGTTGATACTCCTGCATCGGGTTCAGTGACAACTTCACTCGTATGTAGGAATTGTCCTATTGAGATTTTTGGTAGAGGTTTAGGTATGGACTTAGTGTGCCTACCGCTTGAACAAATTGATATTATCCTTGGGATGAACTGGTTGGAATTTAACCGGGTTCATCTGAACTACTTTGCTAAGACGGTGATTTTCCCAGAAGCAGTTGGTGTCGAGAATTTGACTATGACTGCTAGGCAGGTGCAAGAAGCAATGGAAGATGGTGCTAATGTGTTTATGTTACTTGCTTCGTTAGATGCAACAGGAAAGGTCAGGAGTAGTGAATTGCCAGTGGTGTGTGATTTTCCAGAAGTCTTTCCTGATGATGTTGGCGAGTTACCTCCTGAGAGAGAAGTGGAATTTTCTATAGATTTAATTCCTGGTACGAGACCGGTGTCGATGGCGCCATATCGTATGTCTGCGTCTGAATTGGCTGAATTGAAGAGTCAGTTGGAAGATTTACTGGAGAAGAAGTTTATTCGTCCAAGTGTTTCGCCTTGGGGTGCTCCGGTATTGTTGGTTAAGAAGAAAGAAGGTTCTATGAGACTGTGTGTTGATTACAGGCAATTGAACAAGGTAACCATTAAGAATCGGTACCCGTTACCGAGGATTGATGATTTAATGGATCAGTTAATTGGAGCCAGTGTATTCAGTAAGATTGATTTGAGATCTGGATATCATCAGATTCGTGTGAAAGCGGAAGATATTCAAAAGACTGCTTTTCGAACGAGGTATGGGCATTATGAATATTCTGTTATGCCGTTCGGAGTTACTAATGCACCTGGTGTTTTCATGGAATATATGAACAGGATTTTTCATCCGTATCTGGATAAGTTTGTTGTGGTTTTTATTGATGA